CGTTCTAGTTCCCACCCAAATGAAAAACTTACCAAGTGACCTTAGGGATACTCTCTTCCTCTCCCCATCCCACCATTTCACCTGCATCACAGATTTTTGGAAACTAAAATGGGGAAGAGGCACCAGTTTGCCACATCAGCAGTGTACCATTTCCTGAGATTTCAACACCAAAACATAACATCAGACATCAGATCAGATCATACCAACTGAATAGGCAAGTAGCTGAGGAGGTTTCCTGCCACTGACCTCCAGGTTTAGTGCCACTGCACTAGGTTTAGTGCCATAGCTTGAGCAACAAGAAGACTAATGAGTCATGATATTGGTTTTCCTCTCTAGGCACTAGCTTGGAATATGTGTTTTCTATGTATAGAAGCTATTTGTATGGAGGGACATTTTGCAGTATAAAGGCCCATCTTGCAGTATAAAGTGGTACATCCCAAATGAGAGCATAAGCAGTTAAAGACTTAAAAGGAGAGCAATTACCTGTAGTGACTGTGACGATTGCCCATGTCACTCATGTCCTTCATATTCATGAACTGATTTGCATGAGCCAATGAGAGGACTGGAGAGGCGGAGTCAGCAGCTACATGAGGTTTGGCAGAAGAAGGAGGAGTCAGATAGGGCTGGTTAGTCAGAGAGGGAACAGATACTGAGAGAAATAGCGCTGGTTAGGAAAATAGGTAGAGAAGGTATAATGTGTATCTCAAGCAAAAAGAAGTATGTATTGAGAGGACTGTTGATTATTTGCTTATGTATAATGTGTATCTGAGAAACTTCTGTTATTATTCAATCTGCTTCACTTCAATAAATAAGATCTTTTTCTGTTCACAAGTCAAGTGTTCTGACATACATCATCTATATCAGTGATTCTTAACCTTGGGTTACTCAGGTGTTTTTGGACTGCAACTCCCAGAAGCCTTCACCACCAGCTGTGCAGGCTGGGGTTTCTGGGAGTTGCAGTTCAAAAACACCTGAGTAACCCAAGGTTAAGAACCACTGATCTATATTGTGGATTGAGGTAATCTACTGGTGGCAGCAAGAGAAAAATGTGATGTGAGTCTTTGTGAAGGAAAGATAAACAGGGGCCACAAGGGTGAACACCACAGTGACCAAGTCTAGTTGTTTTGGCATTGACAGTGTAATGAACTTAACATTTCAGAAGTTGTGTAGAAAGTGGGAGTGACCTGTCTGTTACTTTACTACTGTGTTACTGCCTACCTGGGGGCTGTTCAGCAATGGATGCAGGAGAATGGAATGAGGCTGAACCCCGGCAAGACGGAGGTCCTTTGTTTGGGTGGCCCAGACACCAGTGGTTTGGGAAATTCCCTCTGTTTTTTTTTTGTGGGGGTGTGACTCTTACCACCAAGAGTGAGATTTGCAGCTTGGGTGTACATCTGGACCCGGCGTTCACCATGGAAACTCAGGTGGCATCAGTGGTCCATTCTGCACACTTCCATCTTCGGCGGATTGCCCAGCTGCGTCCCTATCTTGATGTGGGGGCACTCACCACTTTGGTTCATGCACTTGTAGTCTCAAGATTAGACTACTGTAATGGGGCTGCCTTTGAGACTGACACAGAAACTCCAGATGGTGCAGAATAGAGTGGCAAGACTTCGTACAGGAGTTAAAAGATACCACCATATTTCCCCCACTCTGGCCGCCTTCCATTGGCTGCCCGTTTGCTTCTGCATTGATTTCAAAGTAATAACAATGACATATAAAGCCCTATCTGGCACAGCACATCCTCCCACCCTGTTCTGACAGAGTCACTTGTTCCAGCCAGTCCAGGCGGCTTAGGGGTCTTTTGCCAAGGGAGGTCTGGAAGGAAAGAACGAGGAACCGTGCCTTCTCGGCAGTGGCCCCTCACCTCTGGAACAACTTGCCCGTGGAGATCCGCCTGGCTCCCTCTCTAGGTGTCTTCAGGAGTAAAGTTAAGACCTAGTTATTTGGGTAGGCTTTCCCTCCAGCCGTATCTTAAATTCTACATTTTTGCCATCTTAGAGTTATAGTATATGTTCATTTGTCTAACTGTTTTTTAAATGTGTAATGCCACCCAGAGTAGACCTTTGGTTGTTTTTTAAATGTGTAATGCCACCCAGAATAGACCTTTGGTCTAGATGGGTGGTGCAGAAGTCTAAATAAATAAATAAATAGAGTAACGTTTTCTGGTTTTGGTTGTTGTGGGGTTTTTTGGCTCTTTTGCCGTGTTCTGAAGGTTGTTCTTCCTAATGTTTCGCCAGTGGCTGGCATCTTCAGAGGACGGGAGTCAGAACTCTGTGCTCTGGTGCAGTTTGTTTGGATAGTTGAGTATTTGTAGCTCTGGGATCAGCTTTTGTCCTTTTTAGGAGATGGGTGATTGTAGTGATCAGTGTGTTTTTGTTGTGGTTGTATTCTTGTGATAAGGAGGAGAGATGATCTGTTACTGTGATTGATGGATGTTGTTAGCTGGTCTTTTGTTTGTGGTGACCACCAGTCCTTGTGTGTTTTGAAACAGAATTTCATGTCCAGCTTGTTTCAGGGCATCTTGAGCTACTGCTGATTTTTCCGGTTGTTTTAGTCTGCAGTGTCTCTTTGATTCTGTTGTGGATGCTGCATTTTGTGGTTCCAATATATACCTGTCCACAACTGCAAGGTATCCGGTATACTCCTGCAGTGGTAAGGTTTTGCGGTTACTTTCAAAGTTAGAATTTAAGGGTGTTAAGAGACATTTTGAGAGGAGGTTTTTTTGTTTTTGTTTTTTAGATTTATGACATTCTCTTATCAATGCTGATTGCCACCATTCTCTTTGGGAAAAGCTGAGTACTGGTCTTTCTTTTGTAGATATGAAGACAAAGCTACAAGTTCCAAAGTTCAACCAGTGCATATTCATGGCTGAGCTGGGTTTTGCACCTGCATCTCACATATTCAAATCTATTTTTGTGATATGTGTCATGCTTTTCTTTGTACATCCTCTCATTTGGAGGTTGTGCTGATCTTCTTGGTTGCTGAAAATTTGGTGCCAGTTTTCTTCTTGTTTATTTAATAACTTGATTAGAAACATCAACTTCAGCAAAAAAAATAGCTAGTTGAATATCAAGTAGATTTTGGGACGTAATTTTGCTTCTCTGATTTCTTCTTCTAAAATCTGATCCAGATATTTCTTAGGTAGAGAATACTACTAGTAAGGTGTATTTGTAATCTCTATCTTTTATGTGGGTTGGTCCAGTTATACAAGAGAGTAGCACAAAAGGGTAACATAGGTGTGAAACATATTTCATAATTGGTAAAGTCTTTGTTTTCTATGTCCATGAAAATCAATCAAGCAAAAACATAATCACAAATTAAAATTAAAATAAGTTATTAAGGTTTTCTTGAAAATATCTCCCAACCTATGTCACACTTCACAGAAGCTCTGATAATTGTGTTCCTTAAGCTCAAACTCACAAACTTCCTATTATAAAAGATCCATGATTACAAAAAGGGAACTGTTAATTAACTCTCACTGTCTAAGCAAAGTGCAATTGCTAAAGAAGTTCAGATCTATTAATTTTTTTAAAAAAATCTGTGTCCTATATTGGTTTGCCTGAAGAAGTAAGCCAAAAGTGCAGCCCATAGTATTTATTTCTTCCCAAGTTTCAGTTGAATGTAATGGTACTGAATGAATACTGAACTACTTGGGTGGAATATTGCTGTATTCTGTGAAAGAATTATGAAGTCGATATTCAATTTCATTATATGGTATGAAGGACAAAGCTAATATTAAAACATTACCCATAAAATCATAATGCCCTTGATTTTGCTTGTCCTCCTATCTTTTGAATTCTTCAGAATACTTATATGGTGTCAAGGAAAGCCTCCCCAAATGCATGGTAATAATAAGAACTGTATGCCACTGCAGAAGAGAAAATAGCTGCTAAAGCTAACAGCTGGAAAATAGCTGCTAACGCCCCAACTGGAGCTCAGCTGCAGACAGCTAACCAGCTGGGAAGGGAACTTGGTGGCAGGATATGGCCCCACTGGTCTCCCTGGGAAGAAGAGCTTTCCCTCAGGAGAACCCTGCCCTTGAGGAAGTCTTTCCTCCCAAATAATTTTTTACCTGCAGCTGAAACTTTGCTTGGGGTCTTCTTGGCAGGCTTATACTTTTATTATGGGTTGGGAGGCCGTCTAGCCTCCTCCTCATGTTCCAGCAGAGTGCTACCTTGTCCAAGGAGCCTTCTGTGCCTTCAAGGGTCCAGTGTCTACAGGATCCAGCAATCACCACCCACCCACCTACCCTTGTTTGTTTCAGAAAATCCCAGCTCATCCTTCAAACGGCTCCTCTGGCAGGGTTGTGACAGTGATCTGTGGTTGTTAAGAGTCATTTGTCACATTCGCTTTTTAAAAAGTTTTAAGCAGAGCTTGGGAAAGTTACTTTCTGGGATTACAGCTGGAATAATCTCCCAGGAGCTGAAGTCCAAAAAAAGTAACTTTCCTACGCTCTGGTTTTTAGTATTCATTGAATGATATAAGCTGTACACTGAAAAACTTGATATTTGAAGGGACCCTCACAAAACGTCACTCTCCTTTACTGTTTGTTTCAGCTTCTGGCTCTTCCGTTTTCAGCTGTTATGCCTGCTGCTCTTTGGAAAGAGAACCTACGAACCCAGGTGGCCCTGTTTTATCTACGCAGGAATACCACCTGTGCAGAGACATCAAGGAGAATGGAGTTTTTATTTTATTTTCAAAGGGCAGCATAAAATTGTTGCTTTTTCATACAATGTATGTTGCATGTGTAGCTGATACGAGGCGATGCTCTATTGATTTATGCCCTTTCATGATGCTTCTAAGGTGCACGTTTATTGTTTTTGACATTTTACAGAGTGCTGAAATTGGGACTACATTTTGCAGCCTGTGTGGCCTATTTTTACCTTCATTTATAGGGACTGTGGGAAAGTTAGACTCTCTTGCCTAGAGATGGGTGGTTGCACTGGCAAGGTTCTGAACTGTGTTGATCATGATTCTGTCTCTTTCCCCCCCACCAGAAAATAATATGTGGGAGACTGTGGACTCCATGCTTCCAACATAGGACCAGGACCAAGTTGGGACTCTCCACTTCTGAGAGAATGCTGGGAATGTGCAGAGGGCGACGGAAATTCCTGGCTGCCTCTCTGACTCTACTTTTTGTTCCTGCAATAACCTGGATTTATCTGTTTGCTGGAAGCTTTGAAGGTAAGCAGAAAAGACTGTTTCCTTTGATAAGGACAAGAAGCTGGTGTGTTCTGGGATTTCTGTTGATGTCACTTCTGATCTAGCAGTCTTTGGACAGATGGGATGAAGTTGTCATCCGTTGCCTCCTCCTCTCTCACCCACTAGGAGAAGAAGGAATCGGGGGAAGTTGTCTTTGCTTAGTGACATTTTAAGTATTTTTATTCCATATCTCCCTGGCTGGTTAGTTTCCTGTAGGCTGAAGCACAAATTGATTTATTAGCATCCTAGACTCAGGCATCTCAGACTGAAGATTTAGAACAAAATTGTATATACTAACATGGGAATGTTTGGAAGAAAATCACCTTATCTATATATCTGCCCACCCTTTTAGAAATAAATGCATTTTAATCAAGCCAGTCCATGAAAAAGGTAGTGCACATCACACCTGGTGGAACATGGTTGGAAACAGTCTATGTGCATTTCTAGATTCAAGCTTGATGTTTAGCAGTAATCTTCTATCTGTTCTAATTTTTAGTAATTTTTTAAATTTAGTAATTATTCTATCATTTATTTTATAAATCATTTATAATATAATTTAATATAAACAGTCTATTACTGAGGGTCTGAGCCATTCATACTACCTGCTCTCTGATACTTTCAGCCCATGAATAAAGTCTGTAAGCTAAGGTTGTGATCATGAGCCAAATGTTGCCTTCCTATCCTCCACTGAGTTTGTATCATAAATTTACAGTCACATGATGCATGACCATTAGATAAGATTTTACCCGGTGAGCATGCTAACTGTGGATCATGTCCCGCTCGGCCAGAGGCTTCTACTTTTTTTTGTTGCAGATGTTTTCAAAAACATGTTATATTGCTCTGTGTATGAATGGTCTTATTGCATTTTTTCTGATCTACTGTCACCGTTCATGTCCTTTTAAACTGTTTTGAATTTTTATTTAATTTTTATTTTTACCATGGCACTTCTGTTGGTACATCAGTTAACTTCTGTGAAACTGTGTCAGTAAGAAGGTCTAGGAGCTAATTGAATTGGAAGGGAATGACTCAGTAACCCAAAGACACATTGGAATGTACATCCTGGAATAAATACCATGTGACTACAAAGCACAAAAAGAAGGGGATTTAAAGTCACATAACCATAGGGGGACTGTGGCTTAAGTATGAGAAAAAAAAACATCCTCCCCCAAATGCCTGGAGGAATGCAAGTTTCTTGTGCCCAGCTATCAAGAGCCCTGCTTCCTCTAAGGAAATATGCCATAATGTTTTGTTACGAGTATTAATTACTGTACAATATTTTGTTGCAAGTGTCAGTCACAAATGTTAAGTGTGAATCTGCTGGCTGCATAGCTCAGTGAGTTACTAAGTTTGTGGCTGTGGAGCCAGAGTTGGGAGTTAAATCCTCCCCCCCCACCCCCCGTTGCATCCCAGAGGAGCCAGCCTATGTGGCCCTGGGCAAACTGCAAAGTCTACTGTGCTGGGATTGTGCAGTTTGTGCAAGGCCACCTAGATTGCATGCTCTGCAACTGTGTAACTTGTTCACAGAGAATGTAACCCCATCAGCCGCACTTTGAGTGGTTTCATCTGACCACTTTCCCAGGAGGCAGAGTGGAGATTCAGACTCTTGTCTCTTGGCCATTGAGCTATACCCGCTGAACTGAAAATTAATGATAAGTAAATCTTCCCCTATTTGTCAAACCTCCATTCCATTGACAGGATCTGGTTTGGCAGCTTCAGCCACCATCTCCCACCTTTCCCCCACTTTTTTAATTGGAGGGATTATTCTTTATTACTGATGCTAGGAGGATTTAAATTCTCCAATTTACAGTTTAGTATCCCAAAACCCAGAGGAAATGAAGAGCACTCATGTGTTTAGCTAACATCTTGAAAGACAAAGCCAATACTGAAGCATGAAAAAGAGAATGAGGTTCATTCCCTAGTGAATAAATAAGAAATATTTGCATGAGCAGTGACTCAGAAGTAAAATTGGCTTTTGTTAAACTGAAAAGGAATCTGAGAAGTCTGGTACTGATCACATTCAGATATTAGAGACTTGATCCTACATCCAGCTGAGAACTATCTCTTTACCTTTAGAACAGTGGCCCTTAAACTTCGATCCTTCTGATGACTGAGGTGTCAATTCCTAGTATTCTTGGCTTCATTGGCTGGGGCTTCCAGGTCTGAAACATCTGGAGAGTTAAAGGCTGAGAACCACTGCTTCAAAACATGCCTGCATAATAAGTGAGCCACCACCTTAAATGCAACCTGCTATAATATCCTACAATCTGGTCTATTTTGCAGTCCTAGGAAGGCAGCAAAACCAGGAATTTCATTTGCCCCATGGCTCCTGGCGACATTAATAGTTACATCTGTTTTCTAACTTTCTAACACTGAGCTCAAGGTGGCATAAATGACTTCCCTGTTTTTTTTTAATCTTTGGAGTTGTCCTGTCACATAGGTCAGACTAACAGTGATTAGCCCAAGATGAGTTTCATGACTGAATGGGGATTAGAACCAGGACTTTTCAAGTCCTCAACTAACACTCTAAGCACTGCACCATACTATTTCATTATTTTAGTTGTTGTACTGCATTTGGCTCTACAAGGTAATATCTTTAAAAGACTTGCAGGGTCTTTAGGAGATAAAAGCTTGCATTGTCCACTATTTAAAGTCATTAAGGTGTGAAGTTGTTTTATAGTCAGTTCAGCAAGAGTGGTATACATTGTACTGAAAGACTCCTTTTGATTTATTCTCATAGATGCATAACACTGATGAACTAAAGTAAAGTATGACTTGATTCTGAAGCCTAAACATGTCTTTGGTCTCGATGTGTATCATTGGTGAAAAAGCTTTGGGTGGTGTAGCGGTTATTAGTTCGAGTGTTTGTTAAAGCTTTTGAGGCACAAGTGGAGCGTTTCAGCTTTTGCCTTCTACTAAGCCAGTGCTTCTGAATGTTGGGTTCCAGATACTCTTGGACTAAAACTCCCAGAAGCCTTCACCACTAGCTGTGCTGGCCAGGATTTCTGGGAGTTGTAGTCCAAGAGCATCTAGGGACCCAAAGTTGGGATTCATTGCACTAAGCAATAAAACTCAGTGGGTGACCTTGAGCTAGTCACTTTCACTCAATCCGATGTGCCTCATGTTGTGGAAAATAAAATATGTGGAGGAGTATAACACTTGTCACTTTGAGCCCATTGGACAGAAGATGGAATATGAATATAACATTGGTTCAGTCATTATGAGCCAGTTGAAGGGGTTTTTGTTAATCATTTCTAGTTAACATTTGGTAAAAGTGAGCTGATGGAAGTTGGAATACCACTTTCTCACAGTCCTCCCTAGGGAAGTGCAAATAATGCACAACTCTTCCTGGAGATAATGGTTTTCTTCTCTATGGTAACAGAAAACTTCATTTATTATAATGTCTAGTTTGGTAGAATTGGGATGCCTCCAGCCTCTATTAATATATCTATTGTAAATGCTGAAAATAATTTTTAAAAAATCAGAGAGATAGAATTGAACAATTTTGAATAGCTATATAACATGCCAGATAACTATTCATGCAAATCAGAATTTAATTTCATCACTTAATATCATTTGTGTATTAGGTTTACTAAATGAAACATCCAATTAACGTATAATAAAATGTTTTCTAATTATAATTTATGTATAAAGAATAGGTGTTACCTTTTGAAATGTTTACATTATGGGTACATTAATAATTTTAAAAGGAAAACTGTTTTAATAATTTAAAGTATTTAAATTACCAGTGTCACACAGAGCGCCTTGGTAGTTATTCAAATAATATTAGTGGAACCTATCTTTGTAAATAGTTATAAATAAGTTATTATTTATTACATTCTGTCTTTCAAGGAGTCCAGGCACATTTCATTCTTTTTTCCTTTTCATTTAATCACAACTCTTCTGTGAGACAAATTAGACTGACAGACAAGTCCATGGTTACCTATGGTGCTCCAAGGCTGATCAGCCTAATCAGACAAGTTATGCTATCCTTTTTCTTTTTTCTGTCTTCTTCTCTAACCATCCATACACACCCAGCATTCTATAAGTTGACTTCCCATACATTCCCATGCTAAAATGCTGTTTTTAAAAAGAAAACCTGAGCCGGCTATGATAACATTACAGTTCCTACCATCCTAGGAAAGATATTCCCTGTTGTTCTTTAGATGACAGGAAAAGACCTATTTACTCAGGTTTTTGCTGACTTCTGAGGAAGAGAGTTTGAAGGGAGAGTAGTTTCATTTTTTCCCCTCCTATGTGTATTGAAATTGTTTTTAATTTGGTAAATAGATTGTCACATTTAATTTAATGTAATACTTTATTCCCCTTCATGGATTGCTGCCTTGTCATGGTGAAGGGGCTTGAGTAATTCAGAGAAGCTATGGGCTTTGCCGTGCAGGGCCACGCAAGACGGACAGGTCACAGAGCAGAGTTCCAACTAAACGCGATCCCCCTGGAGCAGGAACTGGCAAGACACTCCAGTATCTTTGCCAAGAAAACTCCATGGACAGAAACAAAAGGCTGAAAGATATGATGCTGGAAGATAAGCCCCTCAGGTCGGAAGGTGTCTAACATGCTACTGAGAAAGAGCGGAGGACGAGTACAAGTAGCTCCAACGCTAATGCACTGATTGGGCCAAAGCCTAAAGGACGCTCAGCTGTGGACGCACCTGGAAGTGAAAGGAAAGTCTGATGCTGCAAAGAAAAATACTGCGTAGGAACCTGGAATATAAGCTCTATGAACCTTGGGAAGCTGGATGTGGTCAAACAGGAGATGGCAAGAATAAACATTGACATCCTGAGCATCTGTGAACTAAAATGGACAGGAATGGGCAAATTCAGTTCAGATGATTATCTACTATTGTGGGCAAGAAGAAATAGAGGAGCCCTCATAGTCAACAAAAGAGTGGGAAAAGCTGCACTGGGAATGCAGACTTCCAAGAATAGCAAAGAGAGACAAGAGGGCCTTCTTAAATGAACAGTACA